TTCTGTCTCTCGAAAAGCCAATTAAAGAAGTTACCTTGACAACAACAGCTGAAGCAACTCAGGATTCAGGACTTCTTAGTGTGCTGTACATTGGCAAATGAAACATAAATTGAAAGCCAGTACACCAAGAAAACAACACTTCTACTTAGGCATACCAATATATCTATACTTCATGAATAAAGTTGCCAGACAGACATTGAATCAATTATGTATGAATCTGGAAAGATAAGAATCCCCATTAAGCACACTTGTCATAAAGAGCAGCAGCTTGAAACAGAGCAAAGGAAGCCACTGCCATAGTATCATGGCAGATGTATATGTACATAATCCTGTCATTGGTCATTAGGGTTCCAGTGACATTCAATGCCAGCCTAAGCAAACCGGAGCCAATAGGCAACACACTAGAGCTCAGGTAAACTTCTCCAACCAGGTCAGACTTGAACACCACACAGCACCAGCACTTCTTAATGTGAATATTTTACAGGGCTTTTCAATTACATTGCCAACATGGATGTCTCTGTTTAAAGATTGGAACAGCATCATTATTGTGATAATCAAGCTATTTTCCCCATTTGTTAAATCAATATAGGTTACCTTATAAAGCAGCAAGTCTTTAGACATAAAAAAGTAAGTTTACGTTCTGTGAACACCAAAGTATGTTTTTGAAGGTTTTTGATGTACTTAAGCTGTGGAATATTTAATCATCCAATTTTGCTCACTACATCTTATCCTTTTTTACCCTGCGGTGTGCATAAACTACAGGTTATGAACTTATTTTTAAAATGATCTGTTATTTGTTTCTCCCACAAGAAGTAGGTAATCAGGTGGGAAAAATCCACATCATGCATCCCTAACATTGCGGGTACAGTGCTGTTCTAAAACATAGCAATCTGTTTTTTGTTCTAATATCAGTGAAATGCAATATTCTATTTTTGCTGTATTGTTTGGTAAATAAGTCAGGGTTGACAATCAAAGCATAACAGTGCAACAGTGCATCCAGTAAATATCGCCCTGCCACCTGAGCAGAAGCAAGCGATAAAAACACATTTTCATCAACAAAGTGGAAAACCGAGCCACTTTCTTCTCAAATAAAGTATAGATTAGCTGGGTGAAACCACTTGTGCCCTCCCCGTATCCCTGTCAATACCTAATTTATTTTCTGCTGTCTCAGTAAAGAAAGATGCATATTTAAAATATTGTAATTGTTTCCTCGTAGCCATGATTCTAGTGCAATTAGATCTTAACAAAATACGGTATATTCAGCAGTGTTTCTACACTATTGATTGCTATTGCTATTGAATACCCCACAATCTCCACTTTACTCTTAAAAAAACGGCCAGGGATCAAATCAGTAACCTTTTTAGTTATTAGTCTGCCTCTATCTCTAGACTGAACTGCTGCCCCATGGACAGCAACAATACAGTGCAATACCGCACAGAGACAAATCATATGTCCTTTCTAACAAGTCATCGTACCTGGACAAAAAAATAGGGTTCTATGCTATTCTTCCAACGGCCCATTATTTCAAAACCCCAGTAGTCCAAACATTGTCCCATTGGACCTAAAGCCCATTTGTCTTGAAAAAAAAAACCTTAAAAGAAAAGCTCACTGCCCTGAAGGCCCATTGCTCCGAAAATACATACATTCAACACAAACATAACCAAACAGCGACAACATCGTGCACTATTGTTTATGTTTTTTTATTTGTACATGCAAGTACTATATGATATCAAAGGTGGGGTCAGTCATCCTGGAGAAATATAGTTGTCAAATACCGATGCTTGCCAAAGTGAAGCATCGGTATTTGATGACCTGGGAATTAGACTCAACAATCATCTTCCTCGAGGATGACTGACCCCACCTTTCAGGGCGAAGAACTCCAGGGAGTGTGTATTTTTGGAACAATAAGCCTTCAGGACAGTAGGCTTTTGTTTTTGGGATAATGAACAAATGGACTTTTGGTCCCATGGGACATTTTCCTGATGATTGGGTTTTCAGTATCATGTACCCTCATAATGATATAAGGTCGCCAAAAATTAGTTTTTCATCGTCTTCCAAAACTACCTATATGATCATTCTGAAAAACTAATGTTTTCTGATCTGCCAAATCAAACACACTGTCTCAAGTGTGGAAGTTACACTCTGTATACCCAACCATCCACCCTGAAGAGTTTTCGAGTTGTTCTACTATATTGAATGTATACAAACACATTTTAATAAAAAAAAATACCAATGCTGCCACTTTCTGGAAATGGAAATGTTGTACTTTGACAGACTGGTTGCTAAGATGTCATACAAGGATACTGAAGAACCTTGCAGTCACCTCATATTAACACATTTGCTAATCCACTACTAGTATTTTCAGTGGGCTATTTACAGTAAATATGATATTGTACAAGTCATCAATCAACCTGCTTAAAAGTACTTCACATATGTTTGTGAGGAAAGAGAGCAAATATTTAAAGCTTACTTCCTCAATATGCAGTTCTCCAGTGACACAAGGGGAGGGACGCAGGCTCAGCCCACAGTCCCTCAGCCCTCTGAAGGATACACGTTCATATGCTGTGTCCTTGAGAGAAGGCAACCATCGAACTGGGACACACTTGTTGTCATAAATAAAGCAATCTGTGACTGTAGCTTGTTAAATATACCTTCTTAGCTTTATTCTCAACCAGGTGGTGTTTAGAACAATGAATGTAAGCTTTGCTGAATTGGTATTAGGTACCAATGCACTAAAACAGAGCAAACTGCAATATCAAGGCCCAGCTTCACATACAGAACCCTTCTAAACAAAAAAACAGGTAACCAGAGAGTGAGGCGGCCACTTTCTCCAGAAACAACAGGACCACAGCATGAGTCAACAAGGAATCTATAATTTACGAACTAGCTCCCTCCTATGTACAAAAATGGTAGATGAGAGCAGAGAGGAGAGAGAGGATCTGGGTAAACCAGGGGTGCAGTACGTGAAAGGAGAAGAGACAGAGACGGCGATGAGTTGTGAGTAGATGTTTTCCTTGAGGGCTGAGCAATGTAGATCAGAGCCCCTGGGACGGAGTGGTGTGAACTGCTGGAGACCCCCCCCAACCACCACCACCCCTGCGGAAACAGCATGGAGGCAGCCTCCATCGCCATGTGATGAGAACACAATAACGCAGCGAGAAACGGGGGGGTGAAAAAAAATAAAAATAATCGAGGAACTTCATTAAAGGTCACAGGAAGATTGTGTAATCTAATGCCTGGAATTGCCACGTGAACTCTTTAATTCCAACAGAGAGACATTCTACCTAAAGCCTTTAAGATAGAATGACATTGCATATAATTGCTTCGCATATTACACGGATGTCATGTAACACAGTCACTGCATACAACTTCAAATGCCTCACACTGCCTCTTAGGCATTTGCTTGCTGTTTTTTTATTCCTGGTGATTCATGGAATATGGAAGTGCATGTATGCATTCGTGTCATTTTGTCTTGTGCCTGCTCTCACACAGTCAGTTTCCTTTTCAAATCGTGGAAAGGAAACTGAGGTACGTTCAAGTGGGCCTGAAGGTGTTGCGATTACACAGAGACAGAGATGGTGGAGGGGGGTTGTCACGTGTAGTCCAGGAGACCCACAGTTCCCTACTGCTGTATTTTGGCAAATGTGAACACAGGAGAACACATTAACATTTTGAGCTGCTGTGCTGCCTGACATGTAGCCTCTATGAAACAAAAAAATGCATGATCACTCAGTCTCCATTAGGATCATCTGCAAGGCCATTTTTTTTTAAATGCCCACATAGCTGGAGCCATGACTAACATCTCTGTAACTGAGCTACTCCTCTCCCCATCAAAGCCTGGTCCGGGCTGTACCTGTGGGTGTGAGGGATGATGGGGTAATGTCATTAGAGACTATATCTAAGAGGGGCCACACATCCAAAGGGCTCTTTCTACTTATTTATTTATTTATTTATTTTGGTGTGACAAGTCCTTGGAGCGCGCGCGCACACACAAATACCGCATTCATCCAGTTTTATATGGTGATGGTGCCCCCGCAGCGGCCGACGGGCGCAACTTTCCTCCTCCTCCTCCTCTTCCTCCCGGATCGGACAGAGGATAGAGAGACTCCATTCACCATGCGCGCGCGGGCACACACACACACACACACACACACACACACACACACACACACACACACACACCCTTCTTCTCAAGCCACCCCCTACATCCTGACCCCCAGCTATGAGCCCGGGGAGGAGGGTTTTGTGTGAATTTGGAGTGTTTTAATAAATCTAATCCCGGTGTCAATATCCAAAATCTACGAATTCTGATTGTTCATTTCGAGTGGGAGTGGGAGTTGCATTAATAGAAGATGATGCTGAGTAGCTGACAGTTTGAGATGCAAGATTTACAGCGGCACTCGCGGTCTGCAGGTGGTATAAGAACGAACAGACACACGGACGGATGTTGATTTGTTGATATTTCGCGCATTTTTACAGCTGGGTAATATTTCTGAGAACCAATTCATCACTCAGACATCTCACACACAGCCTTATTTTCGGACCCGGCTATATACATTGCTTATATCTTTGCGCAGCTTGCCGGGTGACAGTGCGCAGCCCTGTGCGTCCATGCGCTTGGAACGAAGTGGAGGGGAGCCCAAAGTGGCAGACAGAAGCGGAGGAGATGCAGCTCTCTCTGCTGTGTACGGGGGACGTTTCCAGCAGCCTCTTCGATGCACAGTCCCTCCACCCCCTACCCCCTCTACCACCACCATCACTAACCCCCTTCCACTAAGCCGAAATAACGTCATGTGGAGGAGAGAAAAAAGGCATTCATTATCTCAACATCCACTTGAACTTGTCCTCCACCATCAACACATAATTCTGCAGAGTAAACCATGAAGTAAGAAAACCAGCCCGCTGCATCGCAGTTTCTAACGGCAAAGTGTCAAAGCTCACAGCGGGATTTCTTAATGTCTAATGGAGCTGGCAGAATTAAAGTATGAACGTGTATTTACCGTGAAGGAAGGATCACGTCCGCTTGCTCCTTTCCCCCACCTCAGACAATATTCCTCTGTGCGTTATGTCCCGTTAGGATAAGGTGCATTCCTTTCAAAAGCCACATAGCCCCCTCTCCAAAAAAAGAAAAAAAGAAAAGAAAAATCCCGACGCTCAAGCGTTGGAAATAAGCCTGGGAAATAAGACTGGCGCACTTTTTCACTCCACAGGGTAGAAACTCGGGTTAAATGCGGTCCAACATTGACACACGCGCGGAAACAAATTAAGGAAAACCCTTTTGGTCCCAAAAAACAAGTCCGCTGTTAATCCAGAATGATGTTTTTATTCACAACTATAATTAGAATGATAGTCTCCTAGACAGCGAATGCCATTACGCTCCGGGTCTTTTTGACGCGCGCCGGTCTACATGTTAATGACGCTGATGTTGGAGAAAAAGAAACAAGAGTGGGATTTTTTGCCCCCATCGTCCGCTCCTCACGATTCAGGCTGCACTTGGCTGATAAAACACCGTCCTCTCTCTCTGCTCTCTCCTCCTCTCCTCTCCTCTCCCCCCTCCTCCCCATCCTCCAGCCCTCAGTCTCTCTCGGTAGCTTTCATGGAGCAGAGACGCACCTAGCGGCCTTGGAGGGAACTTCACATGCAAGAGTTCACCCCGCCCGCACAGCCTGCTCTTAAAGATATTGTACATGGGAATGTGAGACTTGAATCCATGTGTGACTTTCAGGGGAGGAAATGATGGACCATGTATGATGAATTACATCGGTCATGTTATAAAGAAAATATTACAGGAGAGGATCCCTGAGTGTTGTGCATTGAAAAAGAACTGCTGTAGAAAAAAATATACAATTTGACAAGCTGCCAAAATGAATTAATGAGTGTGTGAGCTAAATGAAAAAGTATTTATAAAATCTATTATGCAATGATGATTATGTGGGGGAAACAATCTGTACAGAACATGACCTTTAAGGATGAGAAAAAAAACTCCCCTCAAGTTCCCCTTGAATTATTTGATACATAATTGTCACTGTGCACAAATATCTTAATTATCTAAACACAGAAATATATATTTTGTGTTTTCTTGTGCTCTTGTTTGTTTGTCTGTAACCTGTCAATGTTGCTGTCTTTGCCAGATCACCATTGTAAAAGAAGTTGTTGATCTTGATGGGTTTTACCTTGTTATATGGGATAAAAAAAATAATAATATGGAAAAAATAAAACATGAAAAGGAGAAAGCAACAAGAGGAGGAATCGCTCTGCCAGTGCAGACAGTAGAACAGAAGGGACAGCAATAGATTTATTGTATAGGTATAGTAAAAATAAGATAGTAAAATTGCTATAAAATAATAATAATAATAATAATAATAATTAAAGGTAGTAGTAAATATAATGTCAAGCATAATGAAATATATAGGGCTGCAACAAACTGATTTATTTTCATTAGCACATAAAGCTGCAGTAGTTAATTTTTATAAAAATTACAGTTACAATTTCCTGAAGCCTAAGGCAATGTCTTTATGTTACTCATTAGGAATCATATCTTATGATCAGAAACACTGCTCTGTAAATATTTTCTTATAAATAAACTTTTGATCAACCCAACCCAAAATATCAATTTCAGGCATGGATTTACAACTTTGGGTTAGCCCCTCCTACTTCAGATGTAAGCCCCGCCCATTACAACTACAACAATGGTTAATGGTGTACGCATTTAACCCTATTACTCATTTTGCCAAACAAATGGTGTATGAACTGCAACATTTTAGTCTTCCGACCACTCAAAACACTTTATGTAACACTATATGTCACATTTACCCATTCACACACTGATTACACAGCAGTGAGATATTTGGGGGAGGATCGGGGTTTGAACCACCAATCTTCTGATGACCCACTCTACCTCCTGAGCCACAGCCTCCCCAACAAACGACAGTCCAAAACCCAAATATTATCACATAAAACAGCAGAGATATTTTAATATGAGGCATTTTTGTTTGAAAACGCACAACGCACAGAAAACTACAGAAAGGCAGTTCTTGAGGTTTATTTGCAAGCAGCCCTTCATCACAGGATGTCTTTGAGCGGCTCAATCAAATAGTGATTTCCCCTCATTGAAAGTTTTTGTTTGAATACTTTTCTGATGGCTGAAGAGGTAAAACTGAGGAGGATTTGAGGAGAAAGTGCAAAAATATTTAATTCTAAATAATAGTAAATCAAAAAGATATGAGACATAAAATGTTTTTTTGATGTCCTCCTCTGGTAATCATCTCGCAACCTGCTTATCTAGAGACCCAATGTGGGGTGGCTGACCCCTGGCTGTAACCCAATACATTTTAAGGGATAGTTTCTCAGCTGGATTTCATAATGTGGTACCCAACATAATGTGGTACCCAACTTCACTGGCTCAAATGGAACCTGGTCAATCAAAACAGGAAATTCCTCCACCATGTGTAAACCTTACAGAAGCCCTAAAGGGCCATGCATTCATAAATTTTATTTCCTCCGTTTTTCCATGATAACGAGTTAATTTTCTCGAGATCTGGAGATAACGAAACTTTGTTTTCCCGAGATAACGATATAATTAATTTGAGATCTCGAGATAATGACTGTGATATGATAACTGCGGTCAAGCCAGCCGTTACTCCGATCTCCGTGGTTAAATCAGCCGAACTTAAATTTACAGCATATTCACTTCCGGTTTTCAAAATAAAGGTATTAAGAACAGTAAGCTATAATTCGAACCTACATTTAAAATACCTCAAATATATGAAAATATGCCACTTGGAGGTACAAATATGGAACTTTTGTTTTGGCATTTTTCCACATTGGTGCAGTAGAAATGCTTGATATTAAGTATGTTTTTTATTCATCATGGGCGCATGAAACACTTTAATGTAACATATTTTATTTTAAATGTAGGTTCGAACTATAGCTTACTGTTCTTAATACCTTTATTTTGAAAACCGGAAGTGAATAAGCTGTAAATTTAAGTGCGGCTGATTTAACCACGGAGATTGGAGTGACAGCTGGCTTGACCGCAGTTATCATATCACAGTCATTATCTCGAGATCTCGAATTAATTATATCGTTATCTCGGGAAAACAAAGTTTCGTTAGCTCGAGATCTCGAGATAATTAACTCGTTATCATGGAAAAACGGAGGAAATAAAATGTATGAATGCATGGCCCTTTAGGGCTTCCATAAAACCTTGCCTATGTGTCCCTGCTTTAATCTTTGACTCCCATTCTTTTCAGTGTAAATTCCTCAACTTGGCTCTATAATATATAAAAAAAAGTATGTATCATTTCATTGATATGCAGACCATACACAGCTGTATCTACTCGTGAAGCAGAACGACCCCGGTGGCCTGGCATCTCTCAACCTCTGTCTTGCTGATAAGAAGTTCTGGATGTCACAAAACTTTCTACAACTAAATGAAGGCAGGTCTGACGATGTTTGGTCCACCCAAAGATGGAATTCCAGAAGACCTTTTTATGCTTGACCTTGAATGTTAAACTGTCAACGCAAGTTTTTTGACAATGAATTAACTTTTGTCGCTCAGATTAAAGTGGAGATGATGTGTCTAATTCTGCTTTGTAATAAAGAATATCATTGTTTTGCTTTTAATTTGCGGCTTTCTTTATTCGGAATCAGCCCAAAAATATCTCTTAGCTACCATTTGCCATAATGCCGCAGTCAGGCCTTTAACAGGTTACAAGAAAAAAGACAGACATTTTTATTTCAAGACAGGGGTTTAACTGGGCCACAGCACACTAGACACTAAAAAACACCTGGTTCGTTATGGGAATCGAGAACTGGTTCCAAATGTTTCTATCCATTGGAATTGTATGCCACGCTTATCAATTCATTTTATTGATGCTGGCATGTTTTTATGATAGTTGTGCACTGTAAAATAATGATGTCAAACCAGTGAAAGTATATAGTTACTGGACAAAATGGTGCTCCACAAATCAATGGATGACATCACACTTGCGTCAAACTCACATGTGTATACTGCTGGAAACTTAAGTTGTCATGGCAGCGAGAAGAAAAGGTCCAAAGAGTGACAACAGTACTCGTAATGTCTGTAAAATGATCATTTCAAGTAAGAGTGGAAACACCAAAAATATGCTGAAACATATTCACAAATGGGCTTAAAGTGCAGGAATGCCTTTCTTCTACTCTGTTTCTACACTGTGTTCAAACAGAATAAAACAGCTGTTTTAATACTGAAAACCTGTGTAGGCCTACTTTTTTTCCACTATGAAAATTGATCAGGAATCAGTCATGGAAGCAATAATGAATCGGACCAATAAGCAGAATCTATAATGGCACTGTATCAATAAAATCTTGAAAGTAGGAAAAACGTTTAGCATACTCCGGCTCCATATGTACCTCTCCTCCATTCAGCTGATTACATTCCAGCCCTCCGGGCCTTACTGAAGACCAGCAATCAAAGTGAGACACAGGCAGTGGTATCTTACACTAATCATGAGCACTGACTGGTGAAGTGAATAACACTGATTATCTGGTTATCATGGCACCTGTCAGTGGAATATATTAGGCAAGTCAACGCTTCGAAATCAATGTGCTGGAAGCAGGAACAATGGGCAGCGTTAGGATTTGAGCGACTTTGACAAGAGCCACATTGTGATGGCTGGACGACTGGGTCAGAGCATCTCCTAAACTGCAGCTCATGTCGGGTGTTCGCGTTCTGCAGTGGTCAGTACCTATCAAAAGTTCTCCAAGGAAGGAAAGGCAGTGATAGTTCTGATAGAAAGATGTCAGAACACACAGTGTATCACAGTTTGTTGGTATGGGGCCCAGGTGGCCCTCGTGTTATAACTGATCCTACTTACCGACGGTGATTAGACAATCATTTTCTACCATTTTTATGAGTAGAAAAAACAAGCAAGAGGCCTTTAGCCAATCAGAACTCTGGGGTAACAGGTGCTTAATGGCTTCACACAAAATGACACAAAACATGTCTCATATCATTAAGTTTTAAATAAAAAAAACATTTTGAATAGATTTCTTATGGATATCCAGAGTTAAACATCAGCTCTAGATGATCATCTTCTGATAAATAGAGGTATTCTACAGAAAACACTTCAAGGCATAATCCCATCCATGAGGTGACAGAGATCAACAAAATCTTATCAACTCCCATCCCTACTCAATATAGCACCAATGGAATACTCGCTTCATATTTCCGGTGTACAATGAAAAAACTCCCACTAAAATGCTTGTTTTTATCCAATCACTCAACAGCAAAAAACTTTACACTGACACCGGGTCAAAACACTAGTGTGTCAAAACACTGGTTAACCCAGTATTGTGACAGTGCTACATTGACCCCACATTTTTAACACAGTGTATTTAGTGTGCACATGTACCAGAGCAGACACATATCTGCCTCACCAGGCCAACAGTGCCGTTGGCACAGGAGAGGGCTGTGCAGTGTGGGGTAACAGGATATTTCAAATAAAGGAGAAACTGGACAGTTAGAGCTTATTGTGACATTTTACTTCGGTATACAAGATTT